AAATCTGAATAATGTCTATATTTAAACAATAATGGTTGCGGATTAGTGCAGATAAGGTGTCGAATTCGTGATAGTTGTTTCAAGGTTATATTATGTTTAATTACCTGACGTGTTGCATTGTTCTTATCGTCCATATCACCACCCGCAAACGTTGTTTGTTTTAATGGAAATATTTGAGTGAATGCATTCATACTGTCTGATTACCGAGTAGGTAGTGACGTCAGTCCATTTCAATATACCTTATCTTGTTACTATTATCCTACCGTTTAGTTGTGCATATGTACAAAGAGGTTGGGTTATACGTCCGATTAGAATACCCGTGTGTGCGTGTGGTGACTATTGCCAACCGGTATGTACTTCGGTGAATTTGGTGGAGTAATCCATACTATCTGGGCTTCAACTTGACCAGAATCCAAAAAAGGGCTATCAAGTGTTTAACACAATTTTCCCTGGTCACAATTATTAGTGACCGAAACCAACCAACAACATTGACCACTAAGTATATACGAATGAAACAACTTTAACATTTTAAACTCAGAATATATTATGATAGTTTTTCCAGTAAACTTGATTTGACATTTTTCCCTGACATTCATGACTTTGGAACATCACGGCGGGTATGGCATGCCAGCAGCAGATACTTACCCTTCACATGCACCTGGTCTGACTCCTTTGTGAAGGTTTGTGATGTAACGTTTCCATCGATTTTGTCAGTATATTTTTCTCTAGACTATTGATATTTGCAGATATATAAGCAGTTTGGTTTGTGTCGATAATGAAATTTATTTAACATGATCAAGCACACATTGTAACTCAGATACAGACACAAAATGCATAATCAAAATTGCTGACGTTTTTTCTTTTATTAAATATGTTTTGTCTTTTTTTTGATATGTTTAATATAGTTACACCTAAAGTCTCACATCGTTGTTGAGATAATATCAAACAATATTGAAACTTCTTGTCCAAATGAGTTATTGCTACATTGTTGCTGATCTCTATATCTCTATCCGTAATCCGTTATTTTGATATAATGTTCTTTAAGTGATATTTTATTACGAGGATTCGTCGTATCTGATCACACATTGACGTCATAGACTATTTGTTTCTAATTAGGCGATGTAATCGACGTTAGTTACATTTCAATATACAAAGCTCAGAGTAGAACCCTCGTGCGAATGGTAGTGTTTGTGGGCTGGGCGGATTCTAAGGTGTTTGGGGGGTAAGAAATAACTATGTTTTGATGAGTGTACCAAGCCCAAAGCTTCTCAGGAAAGGCCATGACTCTGAAAAACAAATACAAAAACAACTACAATGTAACATAAAACTGCCATAGGAGTTTTTAATTTTCCTTGACCATATTTGGTCATTATGGCGCAATGCATCTCTAATGAGGCAAACGTTTATATTGAGGATACTGGTGAATTTTTAAACTGAAAATTTGAACTGATTAAGTGATTTTTTTATTTTTATAAATCTATAATAATATAATTTTTCATGAAGGGTTTTCAGTTTTTTGTTTTTTTTTTTTTTTTTTGGAAAGATCACTTTTTCACTTATGGTTCCACCCAGCCTTCCCTTTCGCTCATACCTTCCAGATCTCTCGCTTGCACTCGGTCTTTCCTCTTGTGTATGGTTTATCCTAACTTCCTGCTTACTACCCCTCCTCGTGTCACTTTCAATATCATCTGACCTTTATTGATCATTTTTCATTCCTCCCTCGCTCGCTCAACATGTCGTTTATGGTTTCCCTCTTTCACACATCGTCCCTCTCAACCCCATTACTTACTGCTCCTCTCTTCCCCCTTTGCTTACAGTCTTTCACGATCTCCCTCCATGGCTCTCTTGCCCATTTGACCCCCTCTCAATTATTGCACCTTGTCATTGCTCTTGTTTATGGCCCTCTCATCTCTCGTCTCACTTACAAGCCACTTCTATCCATTCTTGATTGCCCTTCCAGACAATCCCCTCTTGCTTACTGCACCTTCCCTCCACCTCTATCGCTTATGTCTTCTTTGCTTCATTTTTCATGACAAGTTTCTCTTATTCGATTACTGCCTCAGTCTCTTAGTCACTGTTCCTCTCAACCTTTGTATGTCTAAGATATATGCCCAGACGCGCGGACGCACCCAAGAACACACAGACGCACGCACACACGCATAGAGATCAATCCATAAGTTCCCGTTTTCGAACTGCGTCGAACGGGGACTAATTAATGGTGTTCACTAGGAAAGATCCAAGGTCTGCACTTACAGGCTTGGTAGAAGATATTCTCCCCAAGCTGATTAACCGACATTTCTACGATTGGGTTTTGGTTTCCACTGAAGTTCTATATGATATTTCTATTTAGCTGCAGGTAATGCGGGCGCCAATCAACATTAAGTGCGAACACTAATTTGTCACATAAACAGAAACACTGTTTATGCATGCGCAGTGCTTATCGGAAATCCTAATATTATTACTTTGCACTCATTGTAACCATCATCGGTGACTACCCTGAGGGGTCCTTTTGCTTCGCTCAGATGTTCAAGGTGGTATTTGTGTGAGAAGAGGGATTTGTGGGGGTTTACTCATACTCTAGACCCCCACTTACATCATTGTCGCGCGAAAAAATAAAGTAGCATACATGGCTATAATCCTCGACATCATTTCAAATGCAATTATGTGTGCTGTATATATTAAAAAATCTCCATAGTCATACAATTACATTAGTTTACTGCCAACAGTTACATTACTGGGTTCTAAGTACTGGATTCTAAATATCGTCGTTGAAATATCCCCGCATCTGTTCCTTCAAGTGTGCACCTCGATGGATTTGTTGACAGGAGTGGATCTGACGACGTCTATATGTTTAGAGACCTGCGATCTTCACACACAAAAACTCTCCTGGAATGCGTATGGCGCCCTCAATATTGCCCGATATAATTTGTTTTCATTTCAATACTGATCGAGGGAGAGAGGGTATTGTCAGTGTATTTTAGCAGTTCGCAATTAACTATGCCCTCAATGGCTGCGACTGTATTTTTGTGTTCTTTTGTTTTTTTGAAACTGTCACAACATACGAGACGTTGCTGCCATGATAAAATAACCCCTCTTTGACTTGAAAAGTTGGTTGTGTATTTTAGATATTTTTTGGAGAAAATACTGTAGAAGCTTTGAAAAAAAAACATATATAAGTATACCTGTAACAACATGCCAAGTCAATAATATATTAATAAACCGATATGTACATTGTTATGGTTGTCCCTACTATTGAAGTCTGACTAACGTAGTTATTCCATCGATATTTACGAGTTTACTGTCACAGTCACAGTATTAGTGATGCTAGTAACATTAAAAGAAATTATGCACATTTGGGTAGCAACTCTTTCCAGAGATTCTTTATGATTCCTTTGTCAATAGCATATACTGAGAATACTATCACCATCTACTGAACAGAATTAGGTGAAAAATTATGAATAGTAAAAATATTTTTTACCAATTATCTAAAGAAATCCATACTTTGTTTAAAATAGTTTTTTTTTATTATGATACATATATTGGTTTCAAATCAATACTATTATATATTGACACAATTCTGTTTATATAAAGTGAAAACCATATTGTAAGTTTAGTTCTAAATGTCAGAACAAAATTTGGTTTTTATAGCGAGGGCGTACTTTTTACTCTAATGGTATTTGGGGGGCGGTGAACATATAGTTTTATCGTAAAATGTTTTTACATAGATTGTGATGGGTGTATTTTTTATTTTTGACAAATTATACAATATTTTTTACGTCAGATCACATAATGAAATGGAAAAATTTAAATGCTAGCTTAGATCTCACATAATTTTATAAAGCTAATTAATAAAATTAATGTGTTCCTGTTACTTGGTGGCCACTTATTTTATGTACTGAATAAATACAATCAACCTTTCTTTTCAGCGTTCGATACTGATGTTGTTTTGACGATGAACTTATAGGTTGTTTCAGATAACAAATATAATAAGGTCACCGCATCTTGGATACTGATGTTTCAGCGCTTTTCGCTGTTTAAACATAATTTATCTGTTGGGCTAGCTGGCAAAATACTGCATTTATTCAGACCGTGCTGGCAGGGGTAAAGGCGACAGTCACGGTTATGTCAATGTCAGAAATTACTTTACAAAATTGCTTCCTGGAGTGATTGATCTTCATGTCGAGGAGTAAGGAAAGCATTGTAAGTTCTGTTACTAGAATTTGTAAAAATTGAGTTTTTTTATTATTTTTTACTCACTTTCTGACCATGCAAGTTAGCGAAACCTTTAGAGAAAATATTGAGACACCTATATTCAGACATGACTATATGACTCATGTTTTTACAAATGTACAGCGCACTAGATTGTCAGCATAATCCATCTAGCCACCGCGAGAGGGCAGTGTAAACGACGATGTATTGTTTATACAGTGAGTACCATACAGTATAGCTGCATACCACCTCCACAGTGATCATTTGAACTTTGAACTATAATAAGGTCACAAAAAATATGGCTGTGAATTGTATATAGTAAAACAATTCAGTATTACCACAAATGACGTGTTAAAGATGGAGAGAAATCAATATTTAATCTACAGAATGTCACGTGGTACAAAGGAGTACGCCGAGGGCTAGCAATGATCAGAAAGAATCACGTGACAATGAATTATAAATAATGAACAATATATACATACATTGGTACATATGACAACGCTCGTGTTAATGGATAGAATACATATATTCTGTAATAAATTCCATTATTGTCAAGGCATAATAGCTTCATTAAAAATACATATAAACGTGGATGCTTGATAAAATCAATTTGTTTACATATCGATTTACATATTGCTAATATGCCATACCAATCGTTCTGCGTCATGCGGTGTAATCCGACTACCCCAAGCGCCATCGCCGCCCAGATTTCACAACACATCATATGAATTCAAATTTAAACAGTGACGTCATTAATCGTAGTTGAGTACGAAAATAACTGCAGCGAGATCGTGTCGAGGCAAATATATACCCTCAATTACAACAATTCGGATAAAACCACGGCAAGGGGACGATTCGGAGAAAGCGTGTGTACCGTTGATCTGTGCTGGTGTTGTTATCGTGTCAATATTTACAGAATTACTAAAGTGAGTTATATTCATTGAATTTATTATACAGCATTATATATTTACAAAACCGAATCAATATACTACATATAGTATCATGTAATATGTATAGTGTCGTGTATTATGAGGAAATGTCTAATAACGCATAAATAGAGTATCCAGTATGTTTGCTGAGAACAAACGTTTGGGAATTACTGAATGACGATATGTTGATCACGACTGTCTTTTAAATGAACTTGATCACAAACCATGGTTACCGATCTAAAATTTGACACCCGAGTGCGGTGAGTTGTAATTGTGTGCACTATGCGAGGGTTTGAGGGGAAATCACTGCAGTAAAGTACCACGAGAGTAAATGTGTTTCAGCCAGTCTTAAATGGAAATGCATATAAATGTGCGAAATGACAGATGTTTAACTGTTGCACTTATATCCATTAGATTAATTCAACACATATTCATTAGTCGTGTACAGATTATTAATCGTGCCTCCGCTAACCCTACCGTAGATATCTAAAATCCAAAACAAATTTATGTGTAATTAATTCGCCCACTTGCATAATGTTTTCCGTCTCCACATCAGTATTAAGCTGTTTGTTCAGCTACATAATAACAGAAACAAATATGGGAGTGGATATTGTATATCAGAGTAAATATGAAGTTACTGTATTTACTTTACCATTGCATTCCGTGGGTCTTTAAAATATTCTGGTATGGTGAATTCTGCCCAATGGTGAAAATGTTTTAGAAGATATTTCATATTAGGAATATTTTTGATGAGGAAAAATAAATATTTAATCACAAATATGTTCCATTGTGTACTAATGATAGCTGTTACGTAAAGTTGGTGTAACCATGGATACAGTACATTATTCTTTGCACAATATGTTGTTTTTAAGTAACCCTTCAACCATTGTGATTGTAACATTCATGCTTTCTTCAACTATATCATGTATGGTAATTCTATACCAAATTGAATACCATGGATGTTTCTGCTACATCATATGTGGGTGTGGGAGGGACATTTTCGTGGATGATTTTTGTGAGAAATATTGACCATTGCTTATCTCCATCAATACACTAATCAGCTTTATTCTTTTGGTAAATAATGTATTTTTGGTTTGTATTAAAATTGATGGTATTGTTGTAAAAATAAAATAAAATCCGTGAGACAAATCAACCACATATAATTGGTTGTTGTACTATTAATGCTATTTTAATCTAGCTACAGGGTCGTCGTGATAAACAGGCAATTTGGTCAATCACTTTAATTATATGAATGAGATTTGGTGACCAAAAAAACAGGTATTAAATCAGCTATCAAACTAATAATCTATGTTTATAAGATGAGCGGTCTAATAATTTTACATCAATGATTTGATATCTTCAGACGAATAATTATTAACTTTTGTTCAATTGCATTGGTGAAAATTGAATTCCAATAAGCAATTTATTAACAATAATTAATATTATTATTCATCTGTCACCGTAACGCCATAAGTTACAGCGTGCCGTAATTTTGCGTTATTGCACTGGGTATTTTCATCCTACCATATTAGGAAATGCGAATCTCAAATATTGACCGATTACGCGCGTGCGCGTCCTCTAATAATAAAAAAACAAACATGGCAGCTACCAGAGTTTGACCGGACTACACACAAATAAGTTCGCGGATTCTGTTCTAAACTTTTTGGATTTCGGCATTCCCATGATGTATCCTTAGGAGGAAAAGATGTATAATAATAAGGTCATTACGAGGATACCCTAAAATAAACACTCGTACGCCGTCCGGTCGACCTCCGCTGTACTGTCTTCGTGCATACCTTTCGGTATCCACGTAATAACCTCATAATATTGTCTTCTATGTATTTATTTTTTAAACTGAGTGGATAATTGTGTGTTTTGTATCGGTTATAATCTGTAATCCACAATATTTGATAAAATGTGCTATTCTAATATCTTGCCACCCGCTTCAGATAAAATACACTCAATGATCAGCTCTTCTCAAAATGCGACGTTGTTGATAATAACAGAAGTATGTTTTTCTAATGACACCTTGGTTTAATTTGCTTTGCTTTTTTTTCAGATGAAAGTTGAAGTAGTATTTGTACTATCAGTGCTAATCCTGGCTTCGTTGCCGGATATGGTCACCTCCTGCGGTGGTCAGATCTGTAAGATATGCGCCGAAGCTGGAGCAATACCAAGGAACAAGCAAGTGGCGTGTTCACGTTCGCATCTTAGTCGACAATGTCACAACTGTATGAAGAGTCTGAGAAATATGATACATGACAATAAAACATCGTGATGGAGATAATAAAATGCGTTCATCAATAGAAATCGTCGAGTGTTAATCTTGACTGTGCTGTACCATGATTTAGTCAATTTCTTCTGAACTCTACAGAGTAGTCATATTTACATTTTAACATTATCAAGGATAGACATATAAATCCGTTCCGCCAATGGAATCACGAAAACTAAATATCAGTAGGCTTGTAGAACGGGTGAATAAAAACGACATGAAAATTACTTATTATATGTATGTGTCTTTGGAGTATTTACACTTTACTTGTTTTTAGACAAATTTAAAATATTTAAAAAATCATAAATCTTTCATATGAATGTTTAAAGTAATGATTTAATATGTTACAGGGCTGTTAGGACATCTCCTTATCATACTGTAATTAGATTACTAATTATTTACTAATTATTACTTATCATACTGTAATTAGTAATCTATTAAGAGGTTGATGTATACCTTACAAGCTGTTGAACATATTATGTTAACTAACTGTCAGAATCTGTTGTTTGATCTTCTAAAGTTCAAATATCGTTGGAGTATATAATCAAATAATTTTGGAATAATAGGTGTATTTACATAATATCATCCCCGAGGTTAGTCATATCAGGAAACTTCAGGAGATATGACGTTGTATACGGATAAAACAAAAGTATTTGGAAATTTCGAAAGGATAGACTGTGGAAATTGAGATACAAAATCTTGAATCATTTAAGCATTTGTCTCTGAATATTTTTTTTTCAAATGTAATATAATACAAAACTGAGACGTTGAAGAAATATTAAAAACTTTGAATGACGTCACTGTATATTCATACATTCGGGGTGTGAAATATATAATTTGTTATCAGATGAATCTGTTTCAGGATTTAGGGAAGTGAAAATGTTTAGATTGTTTGCCATAGTATCAAGTAGATTTCAAGTTGATCTTACATACTGTTTATACAATATTGCTTTTTAACCCACATAAAAATGCTATTACAAAATGAATCATGGGATTTAGAATTCGGGATCATAAAAGTCATCTCGCCACTGCATGCAGACCTCAGAATTGTTCAACAGATAATAAACAATCCATGTCTATTTAAGTAAATTAATTTAATTAATTTCTAGTTCTGATCTCCATTAAATAAGTAGCTTATATATGTTATATAATTACTCGTTCCACTCTCTTATTGGGTGTGGAGCAATTGATACACAACCAGAATATTATCCCGTGTTTCAATTTATCTCTATTCAATACAGTCAAATTCATGTTCAGTCCTGTTACATTGTTCACAATCATCATACACAAAATGAACACTGAAAGTCACCGCTGGAATGACGCATGCTAAATTATGGTAATCGTCTATATGGTATTAGTGTATTGAATTTAAATACTCGCATGTGCGGTATTTAATCTCTGATTTTAAATCCTGTAGTTCACAAGGTTACGTATCATATTAGTTATTATGCTGTCAATTTTACACCGTTTCACATTAAAACAATGTAACTGTAAAAACGTTGTTTATCAACGGTCCATTTGTTAGCAACGCAAAGACATTCCTGTAACTTCATGGTGTTGGTTTCATTCCACTAATAAGCTGACCTAAAAATAAACCAATTAATTTTTTAATTTTCTCTCAGGTAAGTACCATTTCGATCGCGTAAATCGCCTAGGTTAGAGCATGACCGGCATTCGACTTGGTTGTCACCCCATCCCCCCTAACAGCCGTTTACCTGTCGATTCATTGTGTGTGCATTAGTACGTTCTAATATAATTGGTCTTTCCCCAATAATTTCCCGAGATGCACTGTCAGTAGGCGTGTCTTGTTTATCTCAGTTTCGTCAGAATTTTAGCTGGCGTGTACATTCACCAATTAAAGCTGAGTTGGTGACTTTGCTGGCATTCTCATCTATGGTAAACTTATTAGTGGTAAGGAGTTATTTGGTACATGTTAAAATCAAAATTGTCAGAGCTCTATCTTAAATGGGATACCAAAAATAACGGTCAAAATAGACAATCTATATTTCATGACCATTTAAACAATTAACCTCTACTACATCTCTAAGCTATCACGGCCTACTGAAAATTGTTTGTTAAATAGAACGGCCGAGGATATGCACAATTTTGAAATATATGACATATTTTGGTGAGAAGTGCGGAGCTCGACAATTTAGAAACCCGATAAGCTAATGACAGTTAGTTCCATTTTGAGCCCGAAGGGAAGTAAAATTAATGTCGGTTGGACTATTGTTGATATAATTACATTGAAATGCATGCCTGTGGGCTATTCATTTACTTTCCAGCGTCGGGCGTTTGTGCATAGATGTTTTGCCTAAAAATGACTGACGTGGCGACTACATTAGAGTAGTTGCTGATCGGTTCTGTAAACTCATGAATGGATGTGACTCGCTCACCTATAAAAACATGCTTTACAAGTATGAAGTTGGGAAAGGGCAATTAACCCTTAATTGCTACGTACACAGACAATATGGCATATGATTTGAAGAAGAAAAAAACATCACTAGAATATAAAGTATAATTTTACCATAATACCAGTCGTGGGGCGCCCACAATGCAACGGGATAGTTATTTGATTCCAGCCAAGGTTTTGAATATCATTCAATGCATTAAATATTTAAATGAGACTTATTATTCATCTGTGAATAATTACTGAACACCTTAATTTCATGTGAATAAGGAGACGGAAAACAACAAATGTACAATAGTCAAAATACTAGTAGCGGTTCTAAGAATTATTCTGACAGTCATTCAGCAAGATGGCTTGCAACTTTGCAAAACACTTTGGTTTTTGTGTAATGTAGACTTGACGGCACCGTTCCATTGACACTTACACTTACACAGATCAGATCATTCCATTATCATACTGTCCAATAATAAAGAAAACGAAACAACATGCACGTCAGAAATACTGTTAAGAACCCTGTGACAGTACGTCTCAGTGACATGCCGATTTAAAAATGCAGACAATCATTTCAGCGCCGATAAGAATAATAAATATAATAAATACCCAACATCGTAAACACTGTGAAATATAAAAACAATACAGCACTGCACGCACACATAAGTGTCTTACATGTTAGAAACGTGTAAACGAGAAGGAATTCAATGTTTGTCACAAACATAAATGCTAGAAAATGACTGAAGACAATGAGTGAAATCAATATGCTTAACAAGCAGCCTCTAAGCTGAGATAGCTCCGCTGTTAGCAATGCATATTTCAATTAAAGAACAGAAGATATCATTAGAAAATCAAAGTTAAACCGTGTGATCAGAGCAAGTATTATAAAGGTATAGGCTTTGCATAATAAGTGAATGCAATTGCATGTAGGTCGATCCATACTTTTACCAAATATCAATAAATTTGATCAAGATGTCCGAGAAACTATGACATATATGGAAACTAGATTTTGATATGGGCATTTTGAAAAACACGCGAGGTCACTATACTTGTAAACAAAGACCACTGTGAAAGTTAACCGTAATAGAAACAAAATATGAAAGATCGCTTTAAAAAGAACAAAAAATATTAAACATTTGAGGGCGCTGTCACTCTTAAAAACAGGTGCTTGTATAGAATACCCGGTACCATTGTCATTTTTTTTACGGAAAAAACGTAAAATTTATTTATTTCAAGTTAATTTTTTCCAAAGATTTGGACTACATCCAGTATTTTGTGACACCACCTGGTTGGCTTTTATCGCAGCAGTTTTAACTGTAAGTGTTTGCTTTTGAAGTTTTCCAAGAGCAATGTTGGGGATATTGGTAGTACATTCTCGATCCGTAAATAGTGGTGAAATATAGATTTTTATTTTATAATGAATAAAGTGGCTCTTAAATATCTCTCTAGGTTCTATTATCACAATAAATTTGCAAATAGGAATGATTTTCATATATTTTGGCAGAAAACCGGCGTTCCCAGGTCTAACGAGCACCTGTGATTCCACCGGCTTCGCTCAAATTGTAACAAACCTAACTACATTTGTGCCCGGTATGTTTATTAACTCAAACATGTAACCAGCACATTTGCGAATCAAGATTGGCAGAATACGTTATCGCAATATGCAAATTAGGCTACTCACCCAAGTCAAATATTTGTTCAGAAATTTCAAAGACCACTTAGTTATAAATTAACTAATGCAATAATTAGCTAATTAATATGCATGGATCTAATCAGCACATCTACTCATCATATATTATCTGTGTGCCAAGTTTCAATATAATTGATATTGTAGATCTTAAGTTATCAGTGGAACAAATGTTATTCAAAAATGTCAGACACCGGTAACACATAAGCTCTGTTTCACCGGAGCTAATGAACATTATGTATAGTATCAAAGCAATCAGGCTTGCGTTTTCAACAAGAATTTGAAAATAAGACTTTTTACCAAAAATGACAAAAATATTCATCAAAATTAGATAATTGAATATATCATCACAATATGAATAAATAAATCTAAGAGGTAATTATATGTATAGAATTAAAGCAATCGGACTTGTAGTTTTTAACAAGTCGAAAATATCACTTTTTCCCAAAAATTTAAAAAACATTCTTCAAAATTAGATATCATCATGAAATGAAAAAATCTGAGAGAGATCTACCTGTAGTACCTATATGTATCATTTCAAAGCATTCGGACTTTTTAAAAAGAAGTCGAAAATAGCACTTTTTACCAAAAATATTCACCAAAGTTAGAAAATTGAAGTATCAAAGCATTCAGGCTTGTATTTTTAAAGTTGACACGGACGACGGACGACGACGGGCAATCACTCATATGATAAGCTCCGCCCCACAAAGTCGACAGCGGAGCTAAAAATTGACTTAATAGTGTTTATGACTTCGTACAAGAGTAAATTGTTTATGAGCCTAGAGACGCCCTTTCACCAAAGCGAACTGATACATAACAAACATAAACGTAATGTTCAGATACTGCTAACAGCGGTACTAAAGGAATGCGTTCTAATGCATGCATGTGAAAAGGTCAATGCGAACAATTTTTATTGAAAAAGCAAAAACGAATAGTTATGCGAGCTGAACATTGGTATTAGTATTCTAGTTGAAACCGTGTTTTATACATTTGGTTATTATTTCTTCATTTATCAAAATAATTAATTAAAAATTATTAATCAATTTATTTATTTAATTAATTGTTGTTAATTAATTGTAAGTATTTATGGATAAAAATTAAAAATTGATAACAGCGTCACTAACCTTGACATTTTACAAATTCCTTTT